GTGAAGTCTGGAGACTGAGGGAGGAGTTTGGGTAATGAGTTGTAATTTAATGAAATTATGTAAGTGTAGATAAATTAGAGATGTCAAATCTTATTTGGGAGTATTCAAAATGTTATTTTGGAAGTGTTTTAGTGCTGTTTGGAAATGTTCAAAAGTGTTTTTGTGAGTATTCTATGATTTATGAGAGTGTTCGAAGTAATCTGGGAGTTGTTCTCTAGTGAGATGATAAAGGTTGTCGATGAGAGAATATTTCTTAAGAGAGATTAAGAAAAGTGTGTGTGTGTGTGTGTGTGTGTGTGTGTGTGTGTGGTGTGTGTGTGTGTGTGTGTGTGTGTGTGCGTGTGTGTGTGTGTGTGTGTGTGTGTGTGTGGTATTAACTTCATAATATGTAAAATTGTGACTAGTGAATTTATCGAAAAGTGGTTGAGGAATTATTTGGGTTATCCTGGGTTCAGAGTGAAAATGTGTATGGACTGAGATGTTGACGATGATGAAGATCCAGAAATAAATGCACAGAATTTCTTCAAGAGAAAAAGAATTACTCTATGTTGATTTTAGTCAATGAATTGTACCTTTTTTCAATTAATTTGCATTTTTTTGTTGGATGCATATGAAATTCATATGAAATATTGTGTATTGGTTGTATAATAAATAAATAAATGAAAATATTGTGTATTAGTATTATCCTGCATTTTAAGTTAATGTTTGGTCGACAAGATTCAGCCTGTTGGTCTGTATGAGGTCATCACGTGACGTCACTGACTGCTGGGTAAACACAGGTGGGGTGACGTCACACTTGTTTAGACCTGTATTAAGAGAAAGTACCATACCCCATAGGGGGAGTTCATTTGAATGCTTACCCCCACAGTGGGCGAACCCAAAAACTTGATCGAAGGAGATGGAGGGAAAATCTTCGTACTATTGATATCGAGAAAAACTTGATCCAAGGAGATGGAGCAGGAATTTTGGGATGGGGTGGAAGTGGGTGGTGTGGGGGAGGGTGTTGATCCAAGGAGTTAGAGATCATATGAAATTTGAAGCCCCATAGGGGGAGTCCATTTTGATTGCTAGACATCATAAGAAATTCAAAACCCCATAGGGGGGGTCCATTTTGAATGCTTACCCCCATAGGGGAACCCAAAAAACTTATCCAAGGAAGTGGAGGGAAAGTCTTTGTATTATTGGTATCGAGAAAAGCTTTATCCAAGGAGATGGAGCAGGAATTTTGGGATGGGGGTGGAAATGGGTGGTGTTGGGGGAGGGTGTTGATCCAAGGAGTTAAAGATCATAAGAAATTCGAAACCCCATAGGGGGAGTCCATTTTGATTGCTTACCTCCATAGGGAGAACCCAAAAACTTAATCCAAGGAGATGGAGACCATAAGAAAATGAAATTCAAAACAAAATTGAAAAAATTTGGGATGGGGGTGAAAGTGGGAGAGGAACCTCAAAAACTTGATCCTATGAGATGGAGACCACAAGAAAATAAAAAAAAATGAAAAAAATCGGAAAAAAGTTCGGGGAGCGGGGGCGATCTGCACAACACTGCAGAAGGCGCAGGCAAGGGCGTGGGCGGGCATGGGTTGACATGGGCAGGTGCCGGTTGGGTGGGCGTGCGGGCGGGCGGCGAGGTCGGGCGGGCGCACGCGGCAAGAAGCCATACAGCCATAGACCTTTTCAGGAGGAAGCCGCTCAGGAAAAGGAAGCCACTCTGCCATGGAAGCCATACAGCCACTTTCATCACTATTTTCAGTTCCCCGTGGAATGCCCCTCTCATCCTGGTTCCCAAGAAAGATGGAACCTGACACCTTGTTATCGATTACAGGAAACTGAATGCTTTTACGATCCCAGACCGATTTCCATTGCCAGTTCTGAGTGACCTGTTGCAGATCATCGGTGATAAGGTCTTCTCGACTCTTGATCTTCAAGGGTTTTGGCAGATCCCATTTGATGACCAGAGCTTTCTCCATGCCAACCAGTCATTATCAGTTCAGGAGGATGCCCTTTGGCTGGTGCAGAAGCTCGATCACATTCAGTCATTTGGTGATGACGATTTTCCATATTCTCCTAGGTGGCATGCTCATGGTCTACCTAGATGATTTTGTCGTCATGTCAAAAGATGTCACTACACATCTCAAGAAATTTGGCAGGGTATTGGAAAAACTAGCACAGGCTAACCATAAGGTAAAGCTCTCCAAATGTCAGTTCCTGCAGAAGAAAATCAAATTTCTGGGTCATGTTGTGATTCAGAATGGCATAAAGACAGAGGAGTCTAAAATCTCGGCTGTGCAGAAATTCCCTAGACTTATGATGGCAGATACAGTTTATTCGTTCATAATCCTGGTGGGTTTCTACTGCACCTTCATAGCCGGTTTCTCCACCATCATCTCACCCTTGACACGCCTACGTAAGAAAGACACCCTTTTGAGTGGACGTATGATCAGGAACATGCTTTTGTTACCCTTTAGAATAAGTTAACGTCAGCCTCAGTCCTTAGATTTCCTGATTTCACCAACGCATTTACCTAGACGACGGATACCATCAAAGTTGGCATTGGTGCAGTCTCGTCGCAGGAATCTAATGGTAAGAAACAGCCTATTGCCTATGCTAGCCGCGTCCTTACTAAAGCAGAAGTCAATTACTCAGTGACAGAGCTAGAAGCTTTAGCCATTGTATGGGCTTTGAGTCATTTTCGAGACATCATCTACCAATACCCTATCAAGATTTACACTGATCATCTACCTTTGTTGGCCCTTTTTGCAAATAAGAACCTCTTGGGAAAGCATGCTCAGTGGTCCCTCATGTTCAATGTCTACAACCCAGAAATTTGCTGTGTACCGGGTAAGCAAAATGTAGCTGATGCCCTGTCGAGGCATATAGCATTCATGAGCATTGACAGCTCATTCTCTGTTGAGGATCTTGAGAGAGCCCAGTGGCAGGACTCTGTCTGGTGGTCAGTCCTTCGATTCCTGACCAAGGAGGATGTTGGCTTGCAGCTCAAGTCTCCAGTCCCACTAAAGAACTTAATAGTCAACCAAGGAGTGTTTTGCTGTGTTGCACAACTGGTGGATCCCGGCAGAAACCATGCTGGCGTCCCTGGTACAGCTTTTCTCAGGCTGATCGACGATGTCCCAAGTGCAGCGCACCCTTGGAAGGACCAGCGTGTTGTTTGTCTACAGCACAAGGGTACCATTATGGATCCTAATCCTATTCTAAAGTATCCCATTACAAAGGAGACCTGGGAGAGAACTGGCGACCTATTGCCAAACTTTTCGACTTCGGAGAAGGAAAATAAGCACCTGCTTGTAATGGCAGATAACTTGAGACAGTACTGTAAATTAGTACCCATTTGTGACAAAACTTCTGAGACTGTTGCAAATGCTTTCCGTGAGCATGTCATTCTCCATCATGCCTGCCAACGTGTCCTGTCGGACAATGGGTCCGAGTTCATAAACGCCATAATGCAGGATCTTTGCTCCAGATTTAACATTCACCAAGCACCAGTAGCTCTACGCCACCCTGCGAGTAATGGCCTTGAAGAACGTACAAATCGCAAAGTCTGGAGGTGCTCAGAGTAACCGTTAACCCGAGTTGTACTACATGGGATGAGGCTACCCCAGATGTTCAGTGTACGTTAAACTCTTCCCTTAACAGCTCAATCGGTGAGACACCTCATTTTGCTTTGTATGGTTATGAGAAGTGCTTACCTTATGAAATTCTGTTTGCTCCGCCTCAACCTACTTGCAACACTGATAACCCCAGCATAATTAAGATCCAGACCATGCAGCTCGTTTTTCAGTTGGTACGAGAAAACCTTACGAAAGCTACTGATAGGTTTACGTCTGATCACAGTGCACCAGATTGCAAAGTTATCTTTCTCAACCCAACGCAGACCCCAGGTTTGCATAAACTTGTTCCCAAATTCGTTTGTCCTTACCGTGTCCTCCAGCAGCTCTGCTGCAATAAGTTTAAGGTGAGGGAGATTACTATTGGAACTATCAAAGAAGCTCACCTTGACCACATGAAGTATGTTGACCATGTGCAAGCCGAAGCAGAGGTAGAGTTGCATGTGTTGCAAATTCACAATCAGACTCATGGTAATGACAGCCCATCTACTTCTTCAATCGCTTCTCCTGTGACTGATAGCAATCCAGTAAGGCTCCATACTTACGGCTTAAGACCCAGGACAGCAGTACATATCTCTGACACTGACATACCTTCTGACTTGTCCGACTCCTACACTAGCTACGCTAATTGTTTGCTTGCAGAAATGGGTATTAATGCACACATATTGTAAAGTTAGTTAATACTGGAGTCAGGGTGAACATCATGTAAATATGTAAATTATTTTAGAAGGGTATCGGTAGTATAACGAATTCCATGGAAATAGTGTTATTGTAAATATGTGCACCCAGTGTGTCTTTTAAAGCCTGTATTAAGGTCAGGGCAGTGCTGCCTTTGAGTAATTTGTCACACCTTAGGAAATGCTTCTGTCAGTCATTGTTTGCAGATGTGAGGATGGAACAGTATTTGTGGACAAGTAGTTGAGCCTGATGTTTCAGCCCTGTGGAAAACTTGTATATAGAAGATTTTAGTTCCAGTTCTGACGTCTCCTTGCTCTGTCCTCAATCAAGCTGCGAAGGCATGCCAATTTTCTCTTCCCTCAGGATGGGAGAGTTTATTTTATGCCTTCTACATTTTATGTCCATTTTGATTTTCAAGTGAGCGAAAGCCAGTACCCCTGGGTTAACTATTGTAAGTAATTCTTTCACACCTTCGTGCCCACCAGTATTGCATTCGGTTACTTTTAATCATTTTTTCACCTAGCTGCCGCACGTCCTTGGCACATTCTTGATTTCCCTTCAAACTGCCAATCAAATGAATTCCTTCATTATTATTACTTTTTGTCGCTAACAGGAATTGAAGAATATTCACACTTATACACTAATCTCAAAATCTAGTTTTCAAAAGCCAGAATATGAACTGTACCATCATTCTCACCTGCCAAAAGCTTCACAGTCTTGTATAGTTTGTGGTAATTCACAGCCAACAGTCTCAGGCAGGAAGACAGTAAGACAACCAGAGACTAGTGACAACACACCAAATATAAGTAGTGGTAATGGCTTGTATGTATCAGCCTGTGGAAGACGTAAAATGCATTATTATTCAATAAGATTATTCCTGACATTTAAAACATCAAAGAAGTATAAGAAAAACATAACTAATAACAAAATTTGTGCAGTATAATATTTTCTGAAAGAAGAATAGTTAAAAGTACAGAACTTCAATAGAGAATAGTAAAAAAAAAAATTCTATATCATGAATGGATAAACTACAGACTCTTCCTGTTGAATACAGTAATCATTATATTTACCATTAGGTAAACCCAGAGTTGCTAACACGTTCTTTCTTAATACAAACTTAACAATGCTTCAAATATACCAACTTTCTTCTTACTGGGAAACACAACTGTTTACATGTTGAAGTGGACCAGAGGAGCTTCACTCTAGTTATTACACATAAAATGTTGAATAGACCAGAGCTTCACTCTAGCTATTACACGTAAACAAAATGTTGAAGTGGACCAGAGGAGCTTCCCTCTAGCTATTACACGTAAACAAAATGTTGAAGTGGACCAGAGGAGCTTCACTCTAGTTATTACACACAAACAAAATGTTGAAGTGGACCTAAGAAGCTTCTCTCTAGTTATTACACGTAAACAAAATGTTGAAGTGGACCAGAGGAGCTTCTGTCTAGTTATTACACGTAAACAAAATGTGGGAATGACCTATGTAGCATTGTACACAGTGCACCACTTATGTAAATATTGCCATCAATCTTGTCCAAGATACATTACACAAGCTGCATATAGTGCACATTTAATGTAAATATTACCATCAATCTTGCACAAGACACATTACACAAGCTGTGTATAGTGCACCCTTAATGTAAATATTACCATCAATCTTGCACAAGACACATTACACAAGCTGTGTATAGTGAACCACTCATGTAAATATTGCCATCAATCTTGCACAAGACACATTACACAAGCTTCACATAGTGCACCTCTCATGTAAATATTGCCATCAATCTTGCAATCTCATAAAAAACAAGAATATTGTCCTAACTAAACCTAATGAAACACCACTGCATCCCACTGACACAGCTAACAAGATAAACCACCTCTTCTCAACCATAGGATCTAATCTCGCCAATAAAATCCCACGTACCAATGCCCATGCCAGGGACTACCTAGATGGGAATTTCCCAAATTCCTTCTGTCTTGTACCAACTGAGCCCACGGAAGTCACCGAGATTATAAAGTCACTTAAAAATAACTCAGGGAATCTGTCTTATGTCCCACCATTATTGTACAAGCGAGCGGCCCATGTCCTTTCGCATGCTATTTCATTGCTTTTTAACAAGTCACTAGAAACTAGCACCTTCCTGAAACTATTCAAGACAGCAAGGGTTACACCAATACATAAAGGTGGTGACCCTACAGATTTAAACAACTATAGGACAATAAAATGGTATAAAATACCGACAGGTTGTTAGGTAAGACACATATGCAACAGTTAGGTATCTTTATTTCGAAACGTTTCGCCTATGCAGTAGGCTTCTTCAGTCGAGTACAGAAAAGTTGATAGAAGCAGAAGATACTTGAAGACGATGTAATCAGTCCATCACCCTTGAAGTTTTGAGGTGGTCAGTCCCTCAGTCTGGAGAAGAGTATTGTTCCATAGCCTGAAACAATATGGAGTTAAAGTGACAGGATGGAGCCTATATACCGCCAGGAGGTGAGATGTAGGCCACTAGTAGTTGGAAGGTCAGGTCTACATCTCACCTCCTGGCGGTATATAGGCTTCATCCTGTCACTTCAACTCCATATTGTTTCAGGCTATGAAACAATACTCTTCTCCAGACTGAGGGACTGACCACCTCAAAACTTCAAGGGTGATGGACTGATTACATCGTCTTCAAGTATCTTCTGCTTCTATCAACTTTTCTGTACTCGACTGAAGAAGCCTACTGCGTAGGCGAAAGTTTCGAAATAAAGATACCTAACTGTTGCATGTGTGTCTTACCTAACAACTATAGGACAATATCAAACTTACCATTGCTATCCAAAATCTTTGAGAAGCTCGTGCACAGGAGACTATATTCATTTATAACGGCACAAAACATACTCAACCCCTGCCAATTTGGATTCAGGAAAAATAAAAGCACTAATGATGCAATTATAAAAATGCTAGATCTGCTTTACACAGCATTGGAAAATAAGGAATATCCACTAGGAATTTTTATTGACCTAAGAAAAGCTTTTGACACAGTAGACCACAGCATCCTACTCCACAAACTTGACCATTATGATATAAGAAGCCATGCGCTTGCACATTTCAAATCTTACCTTACTAATAGGTATCAGTATGTCACCATTAAAGACACAGCATCAACAACACGGCCACTTGATACTGGAGTTCTGCAGGGAAGTCTCCTTGGTCCCCTGCTCTTCCTCATATACATCAATGATCTTCCAAATGTATCCCAAAACCTGAACCCCATTCTCTTTGCTGACGACATGACTTATGTCATCTCTCACCCTAATCTTGCCACCCTCAACACCATTGTTAACGAGGAGCTGATCAAAATATCGATTTGGATGACAGCCAATAAACTTATGCTTAACACTGACAAAGCCTACTATATTATGTTTGGTAGCAGAGCAGGAGTTGTGCAAATTAACATTAATTTCGACAACACTCTAATTGCCAGACATAATGAGGGCAAATTCCTAGGCCTATACCTCGACAACAACCTAAATTTCAGCACCCATATCCAACACATAACCAAAAAGTATCCAAAACAGTTGGGATCTACGATACTACGTCCCACAAAATGCCCTTCTCACACTATACCATTCACTTATTTATCCATACCTCACATATGCTATTTGTGCTTGGGGATCAACTGCAGCAACACACCTAATGTCACTAATAACCCAACAAAAAGCTGCAGTAAGAATAATCACTAAATCCCATTCCTGGCAACACCCCCCCCCCACTCTTCATAGATCTGAACTTACTCCCTGTTCAGTACATCCACACTTACCACTGTGCAATCTACATCTACAGGACCTTAAATTCCAATATTAACCTTGACCTAAAACGCTTTCTTGATAGTTGTGACAGAACCCACAGGCATAACACCAGACACAAACTTCTCTATGACATTCCCCGTGTCCGACTAAACCTTTGTAAAAATTCAATGTATGTCAAAGGCCCTAAAATCTGGAACACCCTACCTGAAAACTCTAGAACTGCAGACACATTCATCACCTTCAAAACTACCATTAGAAAACATCTTATCTCCCTGATACACCCCGTCAACTAATTACACGAATACCTTCTGGTGGTTCACACTTACAATCACTCACCCATTTGACCATAAACAGAAATATCAATCTCAATCTTAAAATAATGAATCCTAACTAATCATAAGTTGGCCTGTGATACTCCAATACTGAAACTATGTATTGTGCCAAAACAAAAGCATTCACATTGCTAAACTCACAAACTAGTATTTAGTCACTTAGCCATAATACCAACTTACCTCATAATTTGTAATATTTTAAAGTTAAGAATTAATCTAAGTCTGCCCAAAATGCCTAGCCATGCTAGGTGTTCTAGTGGCCCCCTCTGTAATTAGTATTTTACTACATGTAAACCCACAATAACCAAATTCTGTAAACTCAGCATTGTAATCCTTATAGAGAATAAACTTTGAATTTGAATATGACACATTACACAAGCTTCATATAGTGCACTCTCATGTAAATATTGCCATCAATCTTGCACAAGACACTTGACACATGAATGTTGTAAATAACAGAAAATCTTTCCTTGTTATGATTAATAAACTATAAAACTACATTTTTTTTTTTCAATTTACTTTTGTGAATAATATTTTATTTAAAATTTTCTGCAATCCTATAACAATAGATTTGTTGAAAAATTCAGTTGATGAAATTAGTATGAAAATTCTTCTACTTAAGATACAGTAGCATTTAGGGTTTGAAGCTGATCAGAAGAGTCATTCACTAGCTATTACACGGGAAACAGTTTTTTAAGTAAATTGACAAATTTAAATTCACACACCTCAAAGTGAGTAACAAGTTGTATTTTAATTAATTCAACAAATGGAAAAAGTTTGAAGCCGATCAAAAAGAACATTTTCTAGTAATTGATCTAAATCCACCAATGCATACTATTTTTTAGCTCAGTAAAATTTCAAATATGCACCAATTCTGTCTATATTGTGAGATATAATACATCATATGGAATGATGCTTCGTCGATAAAATTTGAAAACCAATAAGATATCATTCTAGAGTTACAGCACAGATTCCATTTTTTCTTTATTTTACTACAAGTTTGCGGCTACTCAAGCGATAATTAATAGGGTGTATATGGTTAAAAATATTCAAGATAAACTAAATAAAAAATAAAAAAATAAATAGAATACTTTAATCTATGAGCATTTAAAATTTGCATAATTAATAAATAATATGGTAATCACTTACTAAAGAAGCAATGAATGGTGCGAGAATAGCACCAAGACGAGCTGACATGGAACAAGTACCAACTCCCATAGTGCGGTACTCAGTTGGGAAGATCTCGGCGGAGTAGATGTACAGGCTGTTAAATGCTGCTGTGATTCCAAACTTACCCAACAAGCTCAGACCAACTACCACCCAGTAATTGTCTTTTATAATGAATGGGCAGAGAAAAAGAGGGATTACACAAATGCAGAGACAGTAATGTATTACACACTAGTAACTTTGTGTTCTACCTACCAATGTTTTGTTACATGTAAACTACATCATTTCTACCTGATAAGGAAATAAATAAATGTATTTGTAGGTTCAGTACAACTAATGCTCTCAAGATAATGTAAGTAATACTTGTATTAATCAGACTTTTTATCTCCATTGAGTTTAAATTAGCATAGCATAAATAAACACAGGTAAATGAACTGTATTGTTTTACCTCTATTTTAGACACAAATATTCTCTGGAAAAGATGCCATCAGCAGTTGTAATCTCCATAGCCATCATTAGGGAATTATAGTAATTTAACAAATTACTATATGACAGTATTTGTTCTGAACAACAATAAATATTATCTGGGGATTTTATAAATATTTGAAATGAACATTACACACACACACACACACACACACACACACACACACACACACACACACACACACACACACACACACACACACAGCATGGGTTCATGGAAGGCAAATCATGTGTCACAAACCTTCTGGAGTTTTACGACAAGGTAACAGAAGTAAGACACGAGAGAGAGGGGTGGGTTGATTGCATTTTCCTGGACTGCAGGAAGGCCTTCGACACAGTTCCTCACAAGAGATTAGTGAAGAAGCTAGAGGATCAGGCGCATATAACAGGGAGGGCACTGCAATTGATCAAGGAATACCTGACAGGGAGGCAACAACGATCATGGTACGTGAAGAGGTATCACAGTGGGCGCCTGTGACGAGCGGGGTTCCACAGGGGTCAGTTCAAGGACCAGTGTTATTTTTGATGTATGTGAACGACATGATCGACGAAATAGACTCTGAAGTGTCCCTATTTGCAGATGATGTGAAACTGATGAGAAGAATTAAATTAGATGAGGATGAGGCAGGACTGCAAAGAGACCTGGACAGACTGGACACGTGGTCCAGAAACTGGCTTCTCGAATTCAACCCTGCCAAATGCAAAGTCATGAAGATTGGGGAAGGGCAAAGAAGACCGCAGACAGAGTATAGGCTAGGTGGACAACGACTACAGACCTCACTCCGGGAGAAAGATCTTGGGGTGACCATAACACTAAGCACGTCACCAGAGGCACACATCAACCAAATAACTGCTGCAGCATACGGGCGCCTGGCAAACCTGAGAATAGCGTTCCGATACCTTAATAAGGAATCGTTCAAGACACTGTACACTGTGTATGTTAGGCCCATACTGGAGTATGGGCCTAACATACACCTGGTCAAGCACGTCAAGAAGTTAGAGAAAGTACAAAGGTTTGCAACAAGGCTAGTTCCAGAGCTCAGGGGAATGTCGTACGAGGAAAGGTTGAGGGAAATCGGACTGACGACACTGGAGGACAGAAGGGTCAGGGGAGACATGATAACGACTTACAAGATACTGCGGGGAATGGACAAGGTGGACAGAGACAGAATGTTCCAGAGAGGGGGCACAGAAACAAGGGGTCACAATTGGAAGCTGAAGACTCAGACGAGTCACAGGGACGTTAGGGAGTACTTCTTCAGTCATAGAATCGTCAGGAGTGGAATAGCCTAGCAAGTGAAGTAGTGGAGGCAGGAACCATACATAGTTTTAAGAAGAGGTATGACAAAGCTCAGGAAGCAGAGAGAGAGAGAGAGAGAGGACCTAGTAGCGATCAGTGAAGCGGCGGGGCCAGGAGCTGAGTCTCGACCCCTGCAACCACAATTAGGTGAGTACAGTTAGGTGAGTACACACACACACATATTTGTGTGTGTGTATTTATTTCAAATATCTCACAGAAACCAAGCTCACAGGGATGATAACAGATGCCATCTTTCCAATGGATATCAGATCCTGAGGAAAGACAGAGGAGACAGAGGGGATGGAGGAGTAGCACTGCTGATCAAAAATCGATGGGATTTTGATGAGCTGGAGAGAGGAGACAGAGGAGAAGCAAGAGATTACATAGTACTACGCTTCAGTCTGGAGGTCCCACGGTGGTAATTGGAGTGATGTATAACCCATCGCAGAACAGCAGGAGACCAAGGCAAAAGTATGATGACAGCAAGAGAGCGATGGTTGACACACTAGCTGAGGTGGTCAGAAGGGCTCATTCAAGCAGGGCATAGCTATTGATCATGGGTGACTTCAACCACAAGGAAATTACTGGGAGAACTTGGAGTCAAATGGGGCCAAGAAACGTGGAGGGCTAAGATGATGGAGGTGGTACTGACAAACTTCATGTACCAACACGTAAGGGACACTACCAGAGACAGAGAGGATGAACCAGCGAGACTGGACCTAGTATTCACCTTGAGTAGTGCAGATATTGAGAATATCACATATCAAAGACCCTGGGGGCCAGTGATCATATGGTTTCAAGCTTCGAATACACAGTAGAGCTACAAGAGAAGGGGGAAGCAGGAAGAGACGCATTAATGAAGCCAAACTACAAGAAAGGGGACTATGCAAGCACGAAGAGCTTGCTGAACTGGATTCATTGGGACAGAGAACTGGCAGGGAAGTCAGTGGACGAGTTGATGGAATATGTGACAACTTCATGCAAGGAAGTTGAGGAGAGGTTTGTACCCATGGGTAACAGGAATAATGATTTTTCATTATTCCTGTTACCAGGATTAGCCCATGGTCCACCCAAAGGCACAGGGAGGCCAAAACCAAGTGTGCTAGGGAATGAAAGAAGTATAGAAGGCAAAGGACCCAGAAGAATAAGGAGACCGCTCATAGAGCCCGAAATTAATATGAACAGGTAAGACGGGAGGCCCAAAGGCAGTTTGAGAATCACATAGCAGCGAGAGCAAAATCTGACCCAAAGATGTTGTACAGCCACATCAACAGGAAAACAACAGTCAAAGACCAGGTAAACAGGACTGAGGTAGGAAGGAGGGGAGGTTATGTGAAGTGTGTGAAGTGCTCAACATGAGATTCTAAGAAGTGTTCACAGAGGAGACAGAAAGGCCTCCAGAAAGGCAGAGAGGTTGTGTACACCATCAAGTGCTGGACACAATGCATACAACCGAGGAAGAAGTGAAGAGGCTGTTAGGCAAGCTTAATACCTTAGAGGCGATAGGGCCGGAAAACATCTCTCCATGGGTCCTGAGAGGGAGCAGAGGCACTTTGTGTACCACTAACAACTATCTTCAACACATCTTCCGAAACAGGACGACTACCGGAAGTGTGGAAGACAGCAAATATAGTCCCAATTTTTGAAAAAGGAGACAGACACGTAGCACAAAACTACATACCATGTCACTGACATGTGTAGTATGCTAGGTCATGGAGAAAATTATCAGGAGTAGAGTGGTGGAGCACCTGGAAAGGAATGAGCTTATCAACGACAGCCAGCACAGATTCAGGGACTTGAAATCCTGCATCACAAACCTACTGGAGTTCTATGACAGGTTGAACGGTAGTAAGGCAAGAGAAAGAGATGGGCAGGTAGATTACATTGTTTTGGACTGTAAGACGGCGTTTGACACAGTTGCACACAAGAGATTAGTGCAAAAGCTGGAGGACCATGCAGGGATAACAGAAGGCACAACAGTGGACCAGGGAATACCTGTCAGGAAGACAGCAGCGAGTCTTGGTATGTGACGAGGTGTCAGAGTTAGTGTCTGTAACGAGCGGAGTGCCACAGGGATCAGTTCAAGGACCGGTGCTGTTTCTGGTATTTGTGAATCACATGATAGAGGGAATAGAATCCGAAGTGTCCCTGTTTCCAGATGATGTGAAGTTGATGAGAAGAATTCTATTGGACGAGGATCAGGCAGAACTACATAGGGATCTGGACAGACTGCAAGCCTGGTCCAGCAACTGCCTTCTGGAGTTTAACCCCACCAAGTGCAAAGTTATGAAGATTGGAGAAGGGCAAAGAAGACTACAGATAGAGTACAGTCTATTGGGCCAGAGCCTACAAACCTCAGTCAATGAAAAGGATCTCGGTGTGTGTATAACACCGGGCACATCTTCTGAGGCACACATCAACCAAATAACTGTTGCAGCATATGGGCGCCTGGCAAACCTAAGAAGAACATTTCGACATCTAAATAAGGAGTCATTCAGGACCCTGTTCACTGTGTACGTTAGGCCCATACTGGAATATGCATTGCCAGTTGGGAACCCTCACCTAGCCAAGCATGTAAGGAAACTAGAGAAAGTGCAAAGGTTTACAACAAGACTAGCCCCGGAGCTAAGGGGTATGTCGTACGAGGAGAGGTTAAGGGAAATCGACCTGATGACACTGAAAGACAGGAGAAATAGGGAGGACATGATAACGACATATAAAATACTGAGAGGTATGGACTAGGTGGACAGAGGCAGGATGTTCCAGAGATGGGACACAGCAACAAAGGGTCACAGTTGGAAGTTGAAGACTTAGATGAACCACAGGGATGTTAGGAAGTATTTCTTCAGTCACAGAGTTGTCAAGAAGTGGAATAGCCTTGGTAGTGATGTAGTGGAGGCAGGATCCATACATAGCTTTAAAAAGAGGTATGATAAAGCTCACGGAGCGGAAAGAGTGACTGGGTAGTGGTCAGTTGAAGAGGCGATGCCACGAGCTGTGAATCGACCCCTGCAACTACAACTAGGTGAGGACACACACACACACATATATATATACGTATGTGTTTGTGTGTGTGCAGATATACCTCTTCAAGGTGGCTCCTTGGTACGGTGAAGAGACACTTGGGCCGAGGAATTTGGTCTCCTTCCTATGACCTAAACTAATTACCCCCTAATTCCCCCTTCTATATCCAATCCTCCCCATCTCCCTTTTACCCTTTCCTCTCCAACCCTTCCTTTTACTCGTCCTGTTTGTAGCCTCTGGGATCCTCCCCTCTGGCATTATGGTTTTTAAGTGGGAGGAAGTGTTTCGGGACTCATCCTACTTCTATGGATCATCTGGAGGAACCCTGCACCCTTTCTGGATTTCCAGGAGGTC